ACAGCAGCATGGCTGCCTGCCCGAAGCGCCTCGACCACTTCCTGAGACAAGCGCAGATGTATCACTTTGGGAGGGTCATCAGTGCCGTGACCCTGATCAGATGAGGATCCCTGTTGAAGCCAGTAGGCTCTGACTTCTTCTGCATCCATCTTGATAGTACTGCGATGGCCAAAGAGGAGCGCAGTGTGGCCCAAGCCCAGAGGCGGCCTCTGGCCTTGCGTCAGGGTGAGTTGAGAGGCTACTGCTTTGCCTTGCTAATATGGCGATATCTGGAGACAGATAAACGTGCGTAGAGCGCTCCAGAAGCTCGTTGTCGGAGAAGTCCAAAGCTTGTTGGATGTTCCAGTGATGGGTGAATGCAGTGATTGGTCGAATCGCGGAATCCCAGCACGTCAAAGCTGTGCTTCAGAAATTGAGAAACGCAGTGGATGGATGACTTGGTACATGGAACAGCTGTGAGAGATAATTGATGGTGGTGCACGAGCAAGCTCTGCCGTTGACGATGCTTCAGAAGAGATCTCGGTTGCAGCCTGAAAGGGAGCCATGATCAAGGTAAAGTTGCCATTTGACTTCATGATTGTGGATCCGTGCGTGCTGAGTTCATGCGCTTTGATTCCGTGAGACCCCATGCGTCGTGCACGCGCGGGCGCATCATTTGGCGGGCGTGCAGGCCCATATGCAGCATGCAGCCTCTCGCTTCGATCACGTGGGATCACATCAGCCCAGTTGCTTGGAAGCTTGATTGCAACCGCGGGCGCGAAAGCGCAGCACGGCACATCAACAACAGCTGTTGCATCAGCCAAGACCATCTTACAGTACATCCACGTTCGTAGTCCTTTATTCACACTCACAACTTGATACTCGAGTTGAGCTTTGAGTCACATTAAGATTCTGATTATCAGGACTTGAGCACCTCGAAGCTTGCCCCTCTCGCTCAGAGTGCTTGCAGGCCGCTCGCGCAGCACGGCAGTCACGAGTCTGGCGCACGCCACACCATCACCCAACATTCGCGACGTTCGAAGGACTCGAGTCAAAATCTTGCGTTGTGTCAGCATTCCCACCTTGGAGTCCAACTCTTCGAACGTAGAATACAAACTCGACAAGTCGATTCGTGATGGATATGCACGAGAGCCCCGCAGAAGGATCCGGCTCCAACACTTTGCTCGACTCGCTCGCCGAAGGTGCGCCAGGAGGAGCAGCTATTCCAGCCAAGAAGTCTCGCGGCCAAGATGGGACGGGACGCAGTACGAGTTTGACACCGGAGAGTACCGAGGAGGATTTGGCGCAAGATGAACGAGCCGCTAATCAGAATGATCGTCAGTATCAAAATGCCGACGGGTCGAGTCAGCTGGAACTCATTGATGTGGACGAGAAAGGGCATACAGGCGAGAGGGATCAACTGGACTTTGAAGAGGATGAGAATGAGGATGAGGGTCATTTCGCCCAGAATGAATCGCATGGAATGGACAAATTTGCGAGCAAGAGCAGACAGCAGGATCTTCGTAAGGGTGGATTCCAGCAAAAGGTGAGCTGCAGCCGTTCGTCATCGCAAGGACTGCCTCGAAGGGGTACTCAACACGTGTAGCATACACGCACTCTTGCTGCACAGTATCTGGATGAGGAGATTCGTCAGCGATACTTGAAAGGTGCGTGGAGCCCTTGCATGCTGTGATCGACCCGTGCGCTGGACGGCTCTTACACTTCCAGTCCATCGTTCCCAGAGATCGGAGACGTCTTTGCACCTGCCGCAAGCACCTAGTCTCGATCGGCTGTTAGCTCGGTGGGCCGCCCATTCTGGGGCGGGGTCCAGCACGGGATGCCTGGACCATCCGTTAGAAGCAGATATACGTCGTACCTGTAGTGAATAGCGTAACAGGTTCGCGACGACACTTCGACTTTCACTCCACATCTATTATTGGTCACCTCCTTTTGTAACCCTCCCTCGAAGCTTTCGCTACATGCAACCACACTCTGAACAATCCACCACTTGACCCTTGTAGATTACATAGCTCTGACCCATATCTCGCTGAAGCAAGCCGTGCTCACCGCCACTCACACTTGCACGACATTCACGACTTGTGACACTAATTGCCCAGATCAAGCGGCGAATCAGAATGAAGATGGACGAAGCACAACGTGGATGACGACTCTGACTGTGCAGAGACGAGTAAGTGACGGTATGAATATCCAGGAGCGGTGTACCGGTAACGGGCTGAACGCCTTGCCCTCCACACGCGCGAGCGCGTGCTGCGTG